ATGCAAAGCTTTATGGTTTGCTGAGTTTCCTTTTTGCAGAAAGCAATACTAATAGTGTGTCCTTATTTATGTTATTATTAATAGCCATATTAATTTATTATTTAGCTAGTCTATGTAAGCACCTGTTCTACTTTCAAGCAAGAGTTGAGCAATCAATTCCATTTCATCACCTTTCATCTTCCAGTTCTTACTATGGTGCTAGAGTTTAGACAAGCCATACCGGATTTCCCGGTGATTCACGAATCAATGTGCCCAGCTGGGTACCCAGAAAACACACGCCCCGCTTGTACCCCAGGCACAAGCAGAACTAACCCATCACCATTTGTAACACCCTCGGTGTTACACTGTATAACTTTTTGCTAAAACACTGCATGAGCATCATACTTATGTGTAAATGTATGAGTTATAGAGTGTAAAGCAATATACGGAACTTGAAACATTCATCGGAAATACAAAACAAATGTTACATTGCATGTCGCGTTGTATCGCTTAGGGTTCTAAAGGAATTTTTATTGAACAAAAATGCTATAGAATGCCTATACGAAACTTTAATAAAGTTGGTAGTACGAATTTCGTAGGTGGCGATAAAATACTTGTGGTCGAGAATGGGATTCGCTAGATAGCTTACTTAATAGCTTGGAAATTGAAGTTGACGCGAATCCGAACAAAAGCATAGTAATTTTCGTAAGTCGGAAAATGGTTCGACGAAGCTCAGTTTGGGACTTTTTATAGGAGCATCGGATTAAGAGGTGGCATGATCTCAGGCTTTGTTTTAGTAGCTTGATATACCATCTTGAGAGTCGAATAATTGGTTTAGTAATTGGATCATCGAGCTAGAGTTTTGGGATGCTTTAAAATGCGTGAAAGGCACGTTCTTATTAAACTTGTGTTCAGGCACACCACCGTGACTTCGGTCGGTGTCACCGCGCCAAGCGCGTGCCCACGTGCACCGCCGCGCAGAGGCCTACACCGCCGCTGTTCGCTCGACGCTACTTCGCCACACACGGACACCTTTGGGCCCGGCAGGCCTGGCTCCTCTGCCTCTGTCGTCGTGTCCGCATGAGCCTGTTGCTCGTCGTCGCGTGAGCTACACCCTGGTAGCGCTGTGCTCCGTCCATCGCTGCCACGCGGCCATTGCTCCCGTTGACCCTTTGGCTGCACGCATGTGGGGTTGCCCCGCCTACTGTCGCCTTCACGTCTGCGCGCGGTGCCACGCCACGTTTCCCGTCACGCCACTGGAATGTCGTCGCGCCGGCCGTCCGAGTCGTGCCAAGGCCTAACCGCAGAGCTAGCCCAGATGGTAATTGCGCATGTCTGGAGGTTGGTTTGGAGTCCAACAATCGTGCCAGACCTACCATCGCTGCTGCCGTACGGCGTCCGTCCCCAATTTAAGTTTTCACCCATCGTCGGCCGCCATAAGTCCGAACGACGTCGCCCAAGCAATTGGCCTTGCATAGTCCACCTCCTTCCAATTAACCGAGCACCAAACTAGCTCTAGTAATTAGCTTGAGTGCCATGGTGGTGCTGGTTGGTGTCGGGGAGGCCCGTGCTCACCGGTGTTTGGCTGGAGAGGCGTGGCCTCTGTTAGTTCTGGCCAGGAACCTTGGAAAACATGAATTCGAGTAGAAGCAGGGTGCTAGATGCAAAGATAGTGACTCAGTTAAATAGTGTTCGAGTGAGTTTCGTGAATAGATAAGATAACGGGACTCTTTAGCAAAAGAGCCAGCCGCGCGCGGGCTCTGCTGTGTGCCGCGTTCGTGCGCCGCTGCGTGGGCCGCGCTGGGTGCTGCGTGTGCGCGCGAGCGGGACGCTGGGGTGGGCCGAGCCGTTCGCTCACGGGCCACGCTGTGGAATCGATTTCTGATTTTTCAGTAAAGTAATAAATGTTTATTTAATTTCGTTATGAGCTGATCTTTGTAAAATTGTAGTAAAATATATAGGTGTCCAAAAATAGTGAAACAAAATTTGTTAGATTCACAAAAATGCTACCTATCTGTTAGTGTAGTTAGCTTATAGTTAGCTATGATCATGATAGGTTCATAAATTCAAATTAGAAAGCTAGTATTATGTAGATTAATAATTGTAGGAATTCTTGTGGTAAATTGGTGATAGCTTTAGCTACGAATTTTTTACGGTAGGCTCATTAGATCATTATGTACTTGTTGTAAATTTTGTAGCCCTAGAGTAGGTGGATGAATAGAGTAGCTATTATCCTTGTTTTATCATATATAGAGTAAATCAGTATTAGGAGTAAGAATACCTTTAGTTGCTATGATAATGTATGTCACGCTTCATACTTGTTAGTGGTAACAGTAGGTAACTTAGTACCTTAGCCGATAGGATTAGGTTAGTAACTTGACAAATGTATTTATTTTAAGAGCTGTTGTTGTCATATTATTAAATGTTACATCATCATTTTATGCATGTAGATCACGAATTGGTAGAGTTCGTGCCCATGGACGAACAGGATTATGAAGATGTCATTGAGGAGTACGAGGAGGAGATCCTCGTGCTGGAGGGAGCCCGGAGCCTTTTGGTGCTGACTTTGCTGACCCACCGCCTGCCCAAGGCAAGCCCCGGTGCATAACCCCTATTTTTAATGATCACTAAATATATATATGATGTGCATTTACGCTATAGGTATTTTATGGAAACTACATGCATAAATATATCTACCTATGAGTTCTACTAGTATAGGTCGAGTAGCTGCTTTGCTCAGGATATCGGTAGCGTGAGTAACCCGTCGTTACTCACAAATAGGTGTTAATTATGATCACTTATGATAAAATAGTGGAAAGGAAAATGATGACCGGGCAAGGATATGGTTTGGGTACTGGTGGGTGTAAGAGGCTATGTCCTGCGGCCAATAGGGCATGGCTTGGTTACACTTTCTCCCTGTCTGTGTCGATTAAGGATCGACCGTTGCATTGGACGCTAGGCAAGTCACAGACTTATTATCCCAAGCACATACTTGGGTATGGGCGCAGGGAAGACTTGTTACTCTTTTATCGTGGATCCGGCTCTTTCCGGACCGACTGATTGGAGACGGGGATGATGGAGGTCCTTGCACCGCACTGAGTCCAGGACTCAGGAGTGGGGGCTTGGAGTCCAAGTTTGGACGGGGACCTAGACACCCAGGACAGGAGGGTGATGGGTTAGTTCTATTTGTGCCTGGTGTATAAGCGGGGCGTGTGTTTTCGGGGTACCCAGCTGGGCACATTGATTCGTGAATCACCGAGAAATCCGATATGGCTTGTCTAAACTCTAGCACCATAGTAAGAACTGAAAGATGAAAGGTGATGAAATGGAACTGAATGCTCAACTCTTACTTGAAAGTAGAACATGTGCTTACATAGACTGGCTAAATAATAAATTAATATGGCTGTTAATAATAACATAAATATGGACTCACTATTAGTATTGCTTTCTGCAAAAAGGAAACCCAGCAAACCATAAAACTTTGCATATCCATTGGAGTCGGGAAATTATTCCCCCTAGATGGATAAATCTTGCGAGTACATTGTGTACTCAGGGTTTATTTACCCCTGTTGCAGGTAATGCATGAGGAGTACCTTTGTGTGGAGGATTCTTCTAGTGGGCATAGACGAAATCCTTGCTTATCATTGCTAGCTGTTTACTCGATGTTTATCTGCATTCTGTTGTTTATTATTCCACACTTTGACATTTGGTAATGTAATAATGTAATTTTAAGAACTTCTGATGTATGAAATGGATAAGTATTATAACTCGTTCTCATTATTAGATCTTCGGAAAAATGTGGATCTTTCGGGCTCTTCCTTGGGGTGTGCCCGATGGATACCGCCCGCTGTAGCTCGCTTACAGGATGCTTAGTGTCTGAGGGAAGACGAGCGCATCCGTAAGTGTGTTATTTCGAGTGGTTCTACCACAACGTACTTGGAGCAAGTAAAAATGGACAAAGAACAGAAATGAAACTAAAGAAAAAAATTGTACTATTCTTTCCTTTTTATTAGATTTCTATTCTTATATTTTTGTATTTGGATTAAGATTCCTATTCAGGTTACTCGGAGTTGGAGAGAACTAATTAGATTAAGATTTTAGTTGTCATTATATTTTTTCTATTTGAATTAAGATTCCTATTCACCCAAAATTGGAGAGTTAGATTAGAATGCCTAGTTATATAAAGAGAAGGGTATATGTGGTTTTCTACATTCACAAAGTTAGTTAAGGGACGGCCGGACCAAAAAATAGGTGGAGAGAAATTTTACCTCTTTATTATTAGGTAGGTATAGATATATATTCTATTCTTATATTTTTGCAAGATTTCTGTTCATCTGAAATTGGAAGAGATCTAATTGGATTAGGATTCTAGTTATATACTCCCTCCATATTTAAAAAATGAAGTCGTTTTGGATAGCGACACGGTCTTCAAAGCATAACTTTGACTACTTATATGTAAATTTTTGTAAAAGTATTTTTTTCAAGACAAATCTATACATATGGTTTTCACATTTTCAAACCTAACAACTTAAAAGTTATTCATGAATTATATTCTCAATGTTTGACCCAAAGCTTGTCCAAAACGACCTCATTTTTTAGCAAGGAGGGAGTAAAGAGAAAGGCTATAGGCGGTTTTCTACGTTCATAAAGTTAATTAAGGGATAACCGGATAAAAAATAGGTGGAGAGAAATTTTACCTTTTTATTATTATGTACGTATAGATATAGATATACATTAGATTATGGCACGTAAATTTCCAGAACCAATATTTTCTTTGAAACATTGAATATGTAAAAAACCAATATTTAGGTATAAAAACATCACGCTTATTAAAAGAAAAAACAAGCGGAGTTTAGCTTCTTTTCCTTTTTTGTTCTTACTGGATCCTCTATGGGCCGACCATTTGGGCTACGCCGTGTATGGCCCCTTCGAATATGGAGCCCCACAAGACAAGCGCTCTGTCCAATCCCCTGATAAAATGGGGAAAAGAGTGCGGGTTGGGGGAAAAAATGCAATCCACGATGTCGCCGGCGGCGGCGGCGGGTTGTCCCTTCAGCCATTGCTGCCTCTGGAGTGAGCTGTGCTCGCCGCTGATCCCGCGCGTCGATCCCGGCCGGGAGTACGCCTCCATGCCGACCGACGCGGACGACAGCCCCGCGCGGTCGGTTCTGGTCGGCATCATGGCAACGTCAGGGGGTGACCGCTCGCTACGCCTCCATCGATTCGGCGTCGCGGGCTCCGGCAGCGTCATCGGCCGGAGCGGCGGCGCCCTGGAGACCTTGGGCGACGGCTACTACAGACCCAAGACTCCTACGTCACACATCCGCGCTGCCAGCGGGAGCTCCGACGGCCGCCCCCTCTCGCTCTGCATCTTCTCCCGGGAAGCTGACTTCTCCGACCCCAAAGTCAGCAAAGTCGCCCCTCCCATCCCCCTGCAGCTGCAAATGGACCTCGGCGCCGCCGATGACAAGGGCATCACTGTGTCACGTCTGCCGGGCCTACCGCCAGAAGTAGGGCCCCTCATGCCGACCTGCCCGAGCTCGGCCGCCGGCGAGCTCTGGGCACCGTACCTCACTGGAGTTTATGGCCAATCCAGCCTCGTGATGCAACGCTTTGACAAGGATGCTGCCAAGTGGGTGAAGGTCGACACCCTCGCGTTGAAACGGCCCCCAATGGGGACATGCTCATCGATACCATCCCTGTCCTCCAGGGGTATGTGGTGATTGGTGACACAATCCTATTATCGCTCTGGCCATTTCACCTCTTCTACACATTCAATTGCTCTACCTGTGCCTGGGCCGCGGTTGCCACCTCGAAGAAAGATGGGATGTGGATGTACGCTCCAATCCGTGAACGTGGTGTGTATGTGGAGGAAGATGACACGATCTACTTCTTCTGTGATGCTGTTGTCTATGCCTACAAGCTGCGCAAGGACCAGGATCGGTATCAGATGGCGCCGCCTACCACTATTGGCCGTGTTTGTCCTTTCAGCCATGAAGGATATGGGTTCCTCTCATATCTTGGTGGCCGGGTCATGTGCTCTGTCTGGATCGGTGTGAAGCTCCCTTGCAATTGTGATGCTAAACATGTGCTAATCACCACATTTCGAGTCAAGGGAGATGGCAGTGAGCACTTCGTCCCCAAAGGTGTGAAAGTCTTGCATTCCACCTGCCATCGGTTAGACATGGCGCCGAGCAAGTCCCTTGAATCCTACCTTGAGTTCAGCTTCCTACAGTAAGTGGATCTTTTTCTTTCCCCTGCATATTACTCTTCTGGACCGCTAGTTCCCTTTCTTGCTCATTCATGTCTTATGTCTTTTGTTTTCATATTTGCATCACATCCTTATATAGAGCTATAACAGTTTGGTACTTCCTTCGATCCTACATGTCATTTTAGGATTCTTACCGGTCAAACTTTTTTTAACTCTGTACGTCAATATGTAAAGAATTAGATAGGTTCATTGGGTCACTTTGATGTCAGTAGATCCATCATTAAAAATGCTTTTAGATATCATATTTTGTGGAAATTGTCGGGCAATATTTCCACTCTATAGTTCATGTTCATGTCCTAAACAGGGTACACAGTTATATTTGTGATCAGAGGAGTACCCGAAAGTTGTTTAACTGAAATACTTTCAATTTTGTAGGAAATCTTTTTTTTTTTTTGCACAAGTCACAAATTCTTATACAAAAAGAAAAAAAAATCTTTTTGCATGTGAACTAGGGAGTACAAGGAGTTCAATCACGAGAACGCAACACCCCCTGCAAAAAGGAGGAGAGGTGATGTAATGGAATCCTCAATGCTGCTGGAGGACATGGAAGTTCCAGCCAGCTTCAATGTGGTCAAGTCCTCCAATATGCCTGCTTGTTGCAGGTTTGCAATTTACTGTCTAAAAATAAACTTTATTGAGCAATACATGTTCCAGTTCGACTTCATTTTTAAGGTTTCTTGTGATTTTGATGTTTCAATGCCACTTTTTTATTTTATTATTTTACAATCCTTGCGGAGAGGTTTTGAATGAAATGCCATTGTTATGCACTGCTATGTGCTATGCTTGAGAGGTCTGCTATCCGGACGAACAAAACTTTATATATTATTTGCCAAGTTGCTTCTCATTCAACTGTGTATAAGATTAATATCCTGGATGGAAGATTGACGTGCCATGACAAGACTCTCACACCACATTGCATTCTGGAGACATCTATGTGCGACATTGAGGATGTTATCCTGAATCGGCTTATTCAAAGATCATGGCATTTTGTTTGTGACAGCAAATCCATATATGCTGCCCCATCTGTTGAAAATAAAGTTTATTCATGCTGTTTGGATCAGGGAAACATCAATCACATTGATTCAACAAGGCCTGTTGGTGTTAAATTCCGCCTTGTTGTTCTAGTTGGTATCAATGTTGTTGCTATAAGTGGTACTCTCCAAGATGTCTATCACTTGTCTCAAGGCAAATGGATGTGCCACAAGACATCTCGGCCTCCTGATCTAGATAAGGAGGTCTGTCTGTCTGGATATGTAGTGTTGAGTTCTTCTACCTTTATGGTTTCTGATGCTGAGGAAAATCACTGCTTTCTGCATGACATAGTTAATGACAAATGGACCATTGTCAAGCCTCTCAAGCCAAGTGGTTGGCCTGTAAGGGCTTGTCTAAGTGAAAGATGTGTATTTGCCAAGGGTTTTATTTACACTTGCTCAGATTGGGGTCTTGCTGCATTTGAGTTAGTTGAACAAGGTGGTTCTTATTACCTTGGCGAGCAGGTAGATTTGCAGTTTTCATGGCTGAACTATTGGGAACGCAACAGAATGTGCTTGGAGTATGTTGGTGAAGACACAAGCTCTGGTGCCATTATGTTTTGTGTGGCGAAAGGTGATTATTTCTTGCTCCTTTGTACCTAACTCTGAATTCTTGAATTCTTGAAAATGCATATCTAATGTTATTTTCTGTTCAACTCTTGCTAGATGATCAAATTTGTCAGCCTGGTTATCCAAGAAATGAGAAACCTGTACGTATCACTACTGTCCAGGTGAAGACTGAAGAAATGCCTGATGGTAAGCTGAAACCAAAGTCAATTGGCCATGTCACTAGTTTTGTTCAGGGGAATGGAGGGGCAATTTGGACCCGAGATTGCTTTGCAGCTGCTGATATTCAAGCCTGATGCTCGCTATAACTTGCGTGCTGAAAATCATGTTGTATTGTTAATCAATAAGTTACCATGCATCATGAAACTTGTCTGAGATGCAGTGGGGTGTTTTGAAACATGTAGTCAGCAGGCATGTCGTGGTTGTTGAATGTGGATCTTTAACTATGACTGAGAAATATATGACTTCTAAAAATTGTCTGTTTTGTTTTTGTTCGTGTGTGACTGCAAAACAAATGGTCTACTGTAATCATTCTATTTTCAAAAGGATACCAAATTGGCTTTGTAGTGGGAATGCAAGTGAGTAAGGAAAACAAAGCGCTGCGGTGGAAGCCGCACGCAGTGCGGGCTCAAAACCTGCACCGCAATTTTTGAAGGGGGAAGAGGCTGGCGCGGGTACCGACACTGCCCTACACTGATCCGGCTTTACTTGGTCTGCAATTACATACTTTACAGGCAAAGACTACGACATTGAATGTAGTTTTGTCTGACTAGGCCCGCAAGGGGTTCGGGTTGACCCTCTTTTCGATATCGATCCGCTCCTCAAATCAGCCCAAGGATCGGAGCGGGCCGACCCCAAAACGAGGAGCAAAAGGTTGGCTCGCCATGCCCCTGGCCTGGCTAGCTGGAAACGGGGAGAATGGTCGCATAAGCGGAGCCAGGCTTGGCCCAGCTTTGCCCACCGCATCCGCTCACCTCTATTCACCTCGTTGCCACCTCCTTCCTCGCGCCTGCTGTCCTCCGCCGCCGCCGCCTCCCTCGCTGATGTGTCGCCTCCGGCCTCCCTCCGTCGCCGCTCAGGTCTATGGGGCACCTCACCTACTTGCGTTGGCCAGATTGATGCGCAGACGCCGGCATCGACAGCTTTTCGGGCGGAGACGGAGCTGAGCACGCGGTTACAGGGGACAGGCCTCGATGGTGTCGCCGTGCAATCCTGCTGGCGCACAGCCCATAGGCGGAGATGCTCAGGCCGGCATGGATTGCATGTGGAGGTGCATGGCCTCTAATTTCGTGGTGCTGTGCTGCTATTTGCTCCAACAAGGGAGTAGCAGATGCAAGCTGTTGGTGCGCTCATTCTTGTCTTGAGGGCAGCAACGCAGGATTGAGAGAGGAGCTGCTTGAATTGGATGAAATTCAGATGAGGGAGAGAACTGCGTGCTGCAATTGTTTGCTTTTCAGATTGGAGGCGGGAGCAAAGGAAAATAGAGGAATTTGGGGGCTTCCTTTGCTTGCTAGTGCTCGATGACGGGGATGGGGGTTGGCTAGAGCCTATTTGTATCTTTATGTTTGAGAGAGTGTTTACTTGCCCTCATGCTTTTCTCCTTAAATGAATACCAGTGCTCCTGCTACAGTAAAAAGGATTTAGGTAGCATGCCCACATCTGGATAGGACTATATATATATGTATAAATATATAAAATAATCAACAACACATATTATCAACTATTGATTTGATCTTGTGGATACTATATTGTGTGTGTTCACATATTAATTTTTTTAGTAAAAAAAGACAAAAAAACTACTTCAGCAATACTTTTCAGCGAACGAATAGTATTTTCCTTTCTCAACAAATCAGTATAAACCAAATTTCAGCAAAACGAATAGGGCCATCAAAACTTCTAAATTAAAGGACTACACATACTTATCCGAAACCTGGTTTTACCTACCAGCTCTGGGATCCACAAAAAACAACCAAAAAGTACTATTGCATTTAACCTGGTAGGCGGTCAAAAGGCGCGGAGTGCCATGGCGTCCAAACAAATTAAGATTGATCCTTCCAATTAATAACACATTGAGCACTAGGGAAGTATGGATATGAATGGGCCTTAGATGCATATGGTAACAACTACGAATAGAGCATATATATTCATACACACGAAAAAATCAAATTTGCAATACTAGCTAACAAATAGTTTTTTTTGACAAAATAAGAATTATATTAGATAATAGCTGGGTACATCAACACATTACGAGCACTCTGGATTACACAAATATCCTAGAAACTTAGTTTATATACTATATATAGGAAGAGAATTATCCAGACTGATTACTTACATTGGTGACTCCTTCATCAATGTGGAGCTGAGAAGAGAAGAAAGTCGAAACCATTATATTCTTGACTACGAGCACCGTCAAAGAATGGGGTAGACCAAAACAACTTTTGCATGTCAAGCAAATCTTTCTCATATGATTTCCCAGCTTGAGTTCTTATACCGAAAACCTTGATCTCTCCGGAAGGGACGATGACGTAGCCATCTCTTTCGAAGAGGTTGCCAAGCACCATGCCTTTGGTTCTGGACAAGGCAAGCACACAGATCAAGTTCCTGTGAAACAAAATGTAGGCAGAGATGCATGAGTACTGGTGGTCGATCAGTCAGTCCCTGCTATATCAATACCCCTTTTCCACATGCAAATACTAGTAGCTAGTACACAATATGTATAGATCGATGAGGCAGGTGATTTATCGATAGTTAATATACGCACCTCACGGTTCTTCTCCAGAACTCTCGCAGTTCTAGCAGGAGTGGGTCTAGAAAGAAAGCTGCGACTTGAGCTCGTTCTTTCTGGATTTTGTCGCTCATGTAGGTTTCGAACCTCTCGCACGCCAGAACCCACTTTCTGAGCTTATCGCAATAAGCGGTGAAGTAAACCTCGAGCACGGCTTCATCGTCAAGCTTGGAGGTCTTGTCAACGATATTGTAACAGATGTCTCCATCGTGTTGCCCTCATAGAATGAAGGTTGTTTGGTGCTTGAAACCTTTAGCATCGCCAAGATCAAACTAAAAGGTGCCATTGAAAATGGTCTTGCCACTGTCAGTCGCAGGGTCATAGTCAAACTTGAAGGCCTTGACGATTCCACCAAGAATAGCCTGCATTTCATTATCGGTATTAGCAGCAACAAGAGGAGAAGAAGAAGAGAACATGCATTCCAACTTAACCGTAAAAGTGGCCTAGAAATAGATCGAGTAGCTAGCGCCTAACTAAACAGATAGATCATGCATATATAGAGACCCGAGAGCAAGACATCTTTGACACATGATGATGATGGACCAGCAGAAACCATGAGAGGGAACACTATACTAGTGGCATGGTTTTAAATAGCCTGCTATAGCTTTTCTGAGTGACTACCACTACGCTATTGCCAATTGTTCTACTATTGCAGCTAATGGCAGTTTTTAGCTTTGCTAAACATCGATATTTAGTTTAGCCATGATATATTTTTAGCACAGTAATCCTGATTGAGGTAGATATTCATTTCTTAGTCTATAGGACTATAATATGTCTCTCCCTTTAGTTTTTTACTTAATTAATGATGTAATAAACCTTTAAACAATTATTGAAGTGTTGAGTATTGAGTGTTGATCACAACAATATGTTGATTGATCTGATGAATGCTAAATAATATGTTGGAACTAATGGTTCCGAATAGGAGAGAGAGGGGAGAGGGAGGAGAGAGCTTAACGATTGAGAGAAACACACTAGTGCTTTGAACAAGTGACAATGAGTGGAAGGTGAGGTCCCTTGCCCTCATGCCCTTGGACACTTATATAGGCAATGACTACTTACAAGTGGCCCCTTGGTGGGGTTAGATTTCATATGACACTACTCTAGCTGCTAAATGGGCCTCTTTTTGGAGAAGATTTGGTCCATATACCTCATGGTCTCCCCCAACAGTAGCTCCTTAGCTATTAGGTTATGAAAGGTACAACATGACCTAATAGATGCTCATACTAGACGAGGCATGGAGAAAAGAGCATGCGCATGACTCTAGTCTATACAAGTTCTAACTCAAGAAGCTACTCACTCCAAGTTCCTCAATGTTGATCTACCCGATATCTTCATATTTAGCCTTTGGATTCCACAGCCGCTTCTATGACATGGATTGTTAGCTTCGCTCGACCACATGCCTTTGCCTCTAGGACCTTAGCGTGTAGATCTTTGCCTCTAGGACCTTCTCATTGCATAGATCTTCATCTCTGGGACATTATTGGTGTTCAGATCTTCGGAAGTCATCGATGAGCCCCTCGAGCCAAAGTGGTCGAGGAAGGTGAAGTAGTCCTCGATGCCAAATGAGTTGATGTAGACTCTTGAACTGGCGATGAAGGCTAGTTGTCATAAACGTTGATGCCAAAGGTATTGACAAAGGCTCTTGAGCCGTTGTATTGGCCAAAGATGATAGGGAAGCCTCTCCTAGTGAAGTATTGGTGGAGATGAGTCGTCACAATCGTCAAAGATGTTGGAGAAGCCCTCATGCCAAAGTGTTAGAAGAGCTGAGTTGTTGTGGACACCGAAGATGTTAGTGAAGGCCCTCATGCCGAATATGTTGACGAAGGCAATGTTGGTGTAGATGCCGAAGATGTCAGCGAAGCCCCTCATGCAAAAGTTTTGGTGGAGGCAAGTTGTTGTAGCCTCCAAAGATATCGACAAAGATATGTTGTTAGTGTTGGCATCAAAGGTTAGTCATTACAGTCGCCGAAGATGATAATGAGGCCCATCGCTTTGAAGTGTTGGCGTGGTTGAGTCATTGTAGTCACTGAAGTGTTGGCGAAGCCCTTCCTGCTGAAGTGTTTGCTAGGAGCAATGTTGGGGGAGCCCATGAGGTATATGGGCTAAGTCTCCTCCTAAAAGAGGCCCAACTAGTAGCTAGAGTTGTGTCATTTGAAATCCAACCCCACCAAGGTGTCACTTGTAAATAACCATTGCCTATATAAGTGCCCAAGGGCATGAGGGCAAGGGACCTCACCTCCCACTCATTTCCACTTGTTCAAAACCCTAGCATGTCCCCTCTCCTCCCTCTCACTTGTTTAGAACCACCAATTCCAACATAATAGACCGAAACATATTACCCTATATATTCTACATGTATTTGAGTATTTGTGTTAATAATTTTTTTGTTTAGTTAAATATTTTTTTTGCATAATTCATTAATAATTTTCATGTTTTGTATAAAACCGTAAAATGAATAGCTTCTGCTATAGCTCGCTATAGCTTTCTATAGCTTTTGGAGAAGGTCGCCGC